CCTTTCTCTGTTTAAAAAACTTTCATATAAAATTATTTATTAAATCAACGGTAAAATATTTATAAAAAAAACAAGAAACGAAATAAATTGTGATGGGAGTTCAAATAAATTGAATTCCTAATTTTAGGGAGCTCCAGCAACAAAAAAATAAATTGTATAAAAATTCATTTATTAGGATATACATTTTATAATTCCTATTACAGAGATAAATTATTTAATTCTTAAAATAAAAAAAATTAGAAAACAGAATATAGGAAGAAGATAAAAAAATGGTATGTGAGATTTCTGTAATTTAAAGAAAAATCAATTTTGAAGTTTCAAATCGATTTCCCTATCGATCTCTTTCGACTCCTACGTCTTTTCTCTTAGGGCTACTTTGTGCATTCTGAACTGGAGACGAGTACGAATCTCCTTTTTGCGCGTCGTCCAGTGGTCTCTCTTACCACTCATCAGTACAAATTTAATTCTAATCTTAATCGATTAATTCCTTCGCCGAACTATTAAGTTAAGAAGTACGTCGGTTGGATCTCGCCGCGTCTCACCGAAAGATCTCTGGCGGAATGGTCTCTCTCGCTAATCTCTACACCTTGAGGCTAAAACGATTACGCACGAGAATCGTGGTCGGCAGGGTTGCGTTCCAAAATTTTACTCGGGTAATTAAAATCTACAGTTTACGTGACGCAAAACTATAAAGTTTTGATTAACCGAGTACAGTTTTGGAACGTAGCTCAGATAGAGCAAGACAAAAAAAAACAGTTTCGAAATTGTCGAACCGACTCGAACGAGATTCTCGTGGAAAAACGAGGTATGTCATGCGGATCGTGCGCGAAGAACTATAAAGTCAGCTGTCAGCAGGGATTTCCCGCTTCGCCTCTACTCACAGTCGCATCTTGTCGATTAGGCGTTCGAAGATTACGGATCAACTCGTGAGAGACGAAACAACGACCGATCGCAAGGTCGTGAATCTTCCGTCCGCGTGACGTGTATCGTAACACTTATAACAAATGTAGCGCAATGTAAATAAAGTATTAAGTGTGGAAGGTAACGCGCGTTTTGTAATAGCAGTATAGTCGAAACGACAGTTATCCAACTACCAATCGGTCGCAACACTTTTTCAAGTTAACCGGACTGATCGAAAATCGTGACGCTTTAATTACTGTTATTTATTGTAAATAAGAGGAAGCCGTAATTAATGAGTCGCGTGAATAAACATGCTGCAAATATATAGAGGAAGTTGATCACCGATATTGTCACTTTGTTTTTGAATTATATTTCTTAAACAGAAGCTGAAAATAAAACTTTGAAAGCGTAAATACAAACTAGAAGGTGTATTCTGTCAGATAGATAATACTGCTCTGTTTGGAATTTTTCAATATTAAATTTTTTCGTAAGATAAGTAACGAAATGAGTCTCAACCGGCAAAAATGAGATATAAGAAAGAAAAAAATATAAAAGAAGTTTTAGAAAACTACAAACACAATGTAAAACAATCTAACATATTATTTAAACTGCACAATTTGCAAAAGAAAATCGTAAGTGTATGAATTATTGGTTTCAATATCTTTAATTATCCATTGATCCAAACAGATCATGTTTTTATCAATATTAATACAGTGTGACATTTAGTTTCCGAGAAATACGTGTTTCTTTAAGTGATCTACGTTAGTATCGATTTTTCTAATAAAAAAGAATATATTTAAGTTTTCCAAAAATGCAAATTATTATTTACTAATAATAATCATTGTTCTTATTAAAAAGGTAATAGAACATTTTCTGACAGAAGAGATTATATGAAATTCTGTGAAAATGTGCTTCATGAATGTGAAAATGAATTTGCTTCATTTTTATTCACACGACTCTTCTCTTTTTGCAGTTCATTTGTGCCGCTGTTGTTCATGAGTTAACCGAAGAAATACATATATGTATAATATTGCGAAGAGTAATAATTAAGAATGGAACGAAACGTCGCGTGACCCTGCGGAGAACGCACGTATAACAACAGGTATTATCGAGGGGGAGCACGAAACAAGTATTGTCACACCATTCATCGATACAAATAGTAACAGCGATAGGCGATAGTGTAACAATGTATATATATATATATATATATTTATATATATTTATAAATACAAGCGGCGAGTATCCCTCCTATCTTTTTAGAGGCTCTCTATTAACTACAACATAACTGAAGCGAGAGTTATTTATGCGATAACGACTAAAAACTAATGTGTCTATTTGTCGCGTAATAAGGCGGAACTCATCTAGCCAGCGTGTTTATTAAAATTATCAGCCCTCCGACGTGAATCACGTAGTAACGTCGAAGTCAGATTCCTCGAAAATTAACAGAGATTCTTCTCGTAGTTTTGGTGAGAAGAGTAAATTATTTTACAAAAAAAGGGATAAAATCTTAAAGCGATAGATTATTTAAAATAATAAAAATAAATTATTAAAAGAGTACAAATAAAAGAAAACGTAATTCGTCAGCAATGTTAACTGCTAATTTCGTTCTTCTAGCCTTGTAAAATGTGGCAAAAAATCTCAACAATTTCGCGTTACAATTATTAATAATATTTTAATAGTACAATTTTAATAGTAATTTTAGAAATCAGAGACGCGTTACTTCGTGCCACTCGTCGGGGAATCTTCGTTTAAAATGGAATGAGACTGATTATTGCGTGAAAAAGAAAAAGGAAATAATCGGGACGATGCGATGCGAATCGTAATTAACCTGATTGTCTTCTGCCTCCTGCAAAAGGTCGGCTTTATGGCTTGGCAACGCACGTGCTGAAACTTAAACTTGACTAGAACTAAACGAACGTGCGGAGGAATAAACTTGTGTAATTCTATTCTCCCCCCCTCCCCTCCCCCCTCCTCTCTCTTTCTCTTATCGCTTAATCTACAACTTTACTTTTTTCTTTTCATTCTTCCCTTATGTCGATCTCACCAATTTTTTCTCGCCGTTGTCTTTTGTCGCAGAGCCGGGCGGTATTTTAAACGCTAATTAGCGAGTACACATCGAGTCACGCTCTGTATCTTGCATTCCGAATCGTTCTCATACTGAATCACACCTCTGTGCCTTATTTCCGAAAAATATCTTTCGAATGCTATTGCATATTGAATATAAAAATGCTTTTTCACATCGGTATTTTTTTTTGGAGTTTAAAAAACGATATTTGATATCGTAATCGAATATTTTGCCCAGCCCGTTCGAATCAAGTCACGAACATAATTCTCGTGTCATCATCGCGTGGAAAAAGCACATCGCATGTACGCATATATGTATTGTAAACTTTCTTTCAAATATGAAAAATAAAAATAAAGAGAACGACCGCCTCTCTACAGAGCCGCAGTATTACGATTCGCAGGGAAATCTAAATGTTATGTGCAAACGAGGTACGTGCTTCAGTCGCGTAAATCTCGAAATGTATAAGACTCAGTCTTTTTTTTTCCTTTTACAACAGAGTTGCCACAAATTCTTCATTTTAAAATTCCATGACTTTTCCTTGACTTTCAATATATTAAAAAAATTTTTTGAATATTCGTTTGATTTGAAAACTATTTGGAAATCGTTAGATATTTTGTGGAGAGAGCAATTTAACATAACAATGTAAATTAATATTACTGTTGTTGACATTGCTTGTTAACTTAATTGTTAAGTTGCTAGTATTTCTTTATCTTTTTATATATATTGTATATATGTGCACAATTCTTTTCCTCTGCTTACAATACAAGGAACATGTAAATATAGATTCTTTTTGATAAAAACTAAATCCTGTTTATTGGAATTTCCGACTTGCTATTATACAAAGATTTACAAATTTAAAAGAAGAATTACAAAAATATGAAGTCAATTTTAATTTTATTAATTTGTTCACAAGTAACACAAGAAACTTACAAGTTAAAAAAAAGTTTTAAATAAATTTAAAATTCCAACAAATAGTAGACAAGTTAAAAATTCTAATGCTCATAATAAAGCATTTTAAACCTCTATTAAAATGAGTTTACATTAGCTAACAAAAATTGTATAAGTATGATATATGCATATTAAACTTCTTTAAATCTAAGAATTTTAATTTTTCAGAAAATTTTGTAAAATTCCCTGACTTTTCCCTGATTTCTAGTTTTGTGGCAATCCTGTAGAAAAGAAATCAGCGCACGTGTGATATTAAGGCATTATAGATGTAGGTATTCCTATTCGCCATCTTGGTTCCAGCTAAGTGGACAATGTAATCCCAACTTTGCTCAACAATAAAGTTAGAAATTAATAATTATTACAATTTTTTATTTTATTATT